TCGAATAAACCAGTACAACTTTGGGGGCCTGGTAGTCAGGGAGCTGGGCAGACGGATAAGCAAACCGTCATGGAAATTCGGCGCTATGACCAAAATGCACTAGAAATCTACTTGAGATGCCACGTGCGACCAGAGATAGGCGTCCACAGTTTACCCAAATAAAATGGGTTTAATGAAGGAGAGGAACCGTGAAGGGAAGGCCTGATGTCTGCAAGCATGGGAATCAGAGCTTAGGCGTTCTGCTAAGTGAAGCGGCAGTGTTTGTGCTTCTATGGCCTTGAGAAATAGCGCCTGGAGTTAAATGCACGCTGGGAGTGGAACCGAGTGAAATCGGGCAAGCAGAAAGATAAGGAACGGATCTAAGAGACAATGAGAGGATCTGGATTGGAGGCCCGAGTCGGATAAGCCGATAGAAAGAGGGGGCTCCGGGTAAATAGCAAGTGTGATGGAGACCACACTAGATTTGCCATTTTGACGAGTGGAATGTAAACAAGTGAGAAATTGTGATAGGGCGGCATTGGGATAAGAGGGTAAATAATAGATAGATAGCCCAGGACTGAAACGTTTGTCGAGGGATTGACCTTACTTGTCTCTTTGACGAGTTCGTATCTTGGTGAGGAGAATGGCAAAACTCACTGTTGATGCCGTCTACGATGCCGGCGAAAGGTTTGCGAATGTACCAAGTCCACTGTTTGATGTTGGGAATGATGGCAAGTATTATGGCAGACGACTTAGGACTAGGTGCGTTCTTCTAAGTTACCCTTACAACAAGACCAAGTTGCGACAACGAGGTGAACCCACTTCTAAAAATTCCTAATGTTCCTCACATTCTTCTTCCTTGTGCTCCCTTTCCTCTAGCTAACAATAGGTCCTTGCTCCAGACATCTCCTTTTTGCTGGTCATGCTGATTCAAAGTCTAGGAAATCTGCTCGGCGAAGCCACGGTATTCGTGCTACCAGAAGCATGTAGCAGACCATGAGAAATACAACCGGGAGTAACACGTGTGCCGTAAATAGAACTGAGTGAAATCAGTCAACCAATGGAGATAAGAAACGAATCTCCAGGGCCATGAGGGAGATTGGAATAGGAGGTCCAAATGGGTTCATTAATTCCGGTAAATCGATAGGTAAACAATCCGGTTTGATAACACCCCACTAAACCTGCAACAAAGGACACACCTCTAAAGTAGTTACATCTAAACAAGTCAGAAGTTTTACTAGTGTGGGAGTGAAATACGAGGATAGAGTGTAGTTGATGTACTGGGACAGGAGGAATGATAGCACAACCGTTCAGCAGAAAGCTTGCCGTCACTTGTCTATTTGACGAGTTGTAGCTTGGTTCTAACTGTCACAAGATGGTAAGCTGAGGGCTTCTTTGCACAATCTAACAGTCTTTACTCCATGTAAATCCTCCTTCGGTTTCCGCTGCAACAATATATCACTAAAGAATTATATGAACTCAGTATTTCTTTATAGTCGGGTTCTAAGACTGACAGGATACAACGATGCCGGCGAAACGTATGGGAATGTACCACGTCCACGGTCGACGCTGGTAACTATTACACCTACTATAACAAAGGACTTCGGACAAGCTGCGTCATGATAGGTCACTCTGATTTCACGATCAAGTTGCGAATACGAGATCAGACCTCTTGTATACACCGAAATGAGACTACGATAAGAACAGAGGCCACAATATCTTGGTCTTTATATAATAATTTCTTCGTTCATTTCCCTTTTTCAGGCCTTATCCTAATCTAGGCCAAATTGATTGTCCGAGCCAGAATGGAGTATTCTCGGCCCCCGTGTGTTGCTGGCCAATAACAGCTTTTATCCATTCAACGAGGCGAGCCAAACTTGAGCACAGCTTTACTGATGCCTATAGATGTAGCCTGGCTGGTTCACGAGCAGCCTTCGCGCCTACCAGCCGATTGGCCGCGATCCCAGACAATTTGGCTCGTGTGTCCCTTATTGACCTGGAGCGTGGTCTTATTGTGCGCATGTGGAAAGGTACCTATTTATTTGAGTATTTGAGTAAATAGGATAAACTGACTGCTGAGAAACGTGATCACTTAACCCAGTATCGAGGATAGTTTATCAAATACTTAGGCCTAATTTCCGCCTACCTGAAGTGTATTATGCGACTTTTAACAAGATAATCGTCCATCTTCACGTATTGTCTTCTTATTGTACATGCGCAATATTTTTGCATTAATTTTTTAAGAGCCATTTTATACTAGTTTATCCTTTTCTTTTTTTCAACTAAAGAGGCCTTAGTCATCTTTTTACCACAAACAGCTTGCTTTCATTCTCTATCGAAGTTGCAAATAGTGTAATCAGAGTTTTGGGTCACCTTGGTTGTTGAGACTAATCCCCTTAATTTAATTATGATTCTTCGTAATTGCATTTTAAACTGGCAAAATTAGGTTTTATGAAGTCTATTCACCCTATTTCATTTAACGTGATCAAGTGGTATTTGAATTTTCCCACAATGATATGAGTAGAGCTAACGTTTCCACTTAATTTTATATAGCCTTGCTTTCACAAACTGTGTTATCATCCAGGATGGACTGCAGTTTCGACCTCGCATAGGTCTTATTATCACCAACGGGAGTCGAACCATGATAATACAGCGTTTAAGCTCGGCATGCTGACCACTCTACCACATTGCCACGAGTGTCTTTGGGTCAAAGGGCAGATGTGAATTTCAAGGAAGGTCATACATTTTGCCACATCATATTCTTTGGTGGGATTGTTGATGATGCAAAATTATATTTGCTAAGACAATCGACTCCATTACCTTTTTTTCGTTCATAAATAGGGTTCCAAAACTACCAGTAGGTCAATTATAAGTCCCCAAACCCTGTCAGAATAAGCGATGCAAAAATTTTATAATATGCTATTTCCCATTACAAACTAGCAAACAGGGTTGTGACAAATATTATACTTGAGTGACCTTTGTTTAAGCAAACGTTTTTCATTAACTTGGTTATTTTCTTGCATTTCTTGCATCTTCTCAAGGATATCGCAATGCGGAAGTGCAATTCTCGGAGGTTCCCGTACCGGTAGAGTCATGCACCTCGAATGACCTATATACGGCCCCCGTCTATTCATCCCTCGTCACCCCGAAAACCCAGAATAAACGCACTCTGTACCTTATAATTCTTGATCCAGGAAGGCGATACCTCGAAATATGGAGTATGATATATGGGCCGCTGCTTGTGAGACTCCAGCTTAATAAACCTCACTTGCGTCTACTTTCCAGGCCGAATCGCTGCTTGGGTGGACCAAGGCAAATTGACTCTGACTGCAATTTGAATTCCAGGTATGAGAAGTAAGTAAAGCTTTTTACTTAAAAAAGACTTAAATCGTTAACTACGGAGATCCAATTGGGCTTTCATCTCATACATTTATTGTTAAATCATGATAGTTTTAACTATACTTAACACGTTTCGAGGAGTCTCTTGCTTTCTAATTATTTAGCTTACTTCCATTTAGACTGAAAGCGTTTGATGAAACTATTCGTAGGTCGATCTCATCAGAGGACGATGACAAATTCCTCTTGGTCAGCTGTCGATGGACTTTACTGGAACATTCTTGTTGGCGTTGTCTCCGAGGCAATCTCCTTTGATTCTGGTGAAAATTGTCTAAGCTTTTGTCCTTCACATGACGGACATCAGCGGAGCAGAGTA